CAGCCGCAGTACCCTCTCCGAACACTTTGCCTCCCGTCGAGCCCAGAGGGCTTGTAAAGGCTGGGGCTGAACCGAATGCTGGCACCCCTCCAAACCCAGGGGATCCCCCAAAAGTAGGAGGGCTGCCAAACACTGGAGCAGCACCGAAGCCACCTGAGCAAAACAGAGGCAAACAAACAAACAGGGAAAAAGAAAGGAGACAGGAAGAGAAGACAATGAGCGGTGAGAAACCAAATCAAAAGAGGAAGGAAAACGGGGAAAACAGGTTAGAAATTCAAATTCAAAAAACTGTGGCTGGGGGCGAAAGCCGTTCTAAATACCGAACCACCCCCTCCACTTCTAGCAGAAGGGTCGTGTCCACCAGGGGAGCTCCCTGAAGCCCTAAGAACCCAGCAGACCCCGTGTTTGTATGTGAGACCCTCGAGCCCTCCCACGCACAAGCTGGAAGTGTCTGCTCCCAGTCTCGTGGCATCAGATTGTCACCAAGAACCAAGAACCAGCCTGGCGCCTTTCTGACCCCTTCCCAGCCCCACTGTGCTCTTCTGAGGCTCCTCCCTGAAAAAGCGTTCTCGGAAACGCCGATCCCGGCCAGGTGTCAAAGATGACAGATGTTGCTACTATCACGACACAGGCTAGGCTTCCAGCTGTGTGAAAACACACATTATAAAGCCAGAGGCTCAAAGTGTCCTCGCAGGGAGAACCTATGAACTGGGTTACAGAAGAGATGGAGCGGCGCACGGCACTGGTGCTCCGCCAGGGGCTTTTTATTTATTTAAAGCCTTACGGCTCTCACGTCTCTCTCCACAGTCTCTCTGCACAGAATTTCTTACAAAATGCTTTCTCTCTGCAGTCAGGAGCTACTCCTCAATAAAAAAGCACACCAAATTTGCTCTCTGGAGGAAGGCTGCTGGATAAATGTGATAAAAACAATCCATCAGGCCTGAGGAGAGCCACCAGAGCCCCTGACGTCCCCTGCTGCTCACGTGAACAGGGGCGGGGGGGCGGGGGGCAGGCACACGCACGGGCCATCGTGCTGACGGTCAGGTGCGCCGAGGCGGCCTCCTCAGATTGGCAGAGATGCCCACTGGGCGGGAAGGCTGGCCATCCTTCTCTGTCCCTCGTGCTCCTGAGGGGGTTCTCAAACCCCAAGATCCTGTGTACATCATTTTAGGCTATGAGCTGGGACCCTCAGTGAGTGTCCATTGAACAGAATGGACTAAACTGGTATAAGAAATGTGCTCTAGAAAGGAGTATTTCTTAAAATGAGTACTGGCTTAAGGAGCCACGTGCTAAAGGGAACGACAGTGGCTTCGGCACAAGGAAAGAGGCGCCAGGGACGCTATGCTTGCCCCTTGCGGAAAGTGAGTCCTGCTGTCAGAGGCACGAATCAGGCCTTCTTACATAAGCATAATCACACCACAAACTTCTGCTACCTGAATTAGGAAAGATCAGACTCTGGGTAGGAAAAGCTGTTAGCTGAATTCTTCCGTTATTTGTTATCTTGTGATTCAGTCACGGGCTTATCATTGCTAGTGAAGATAATTTTTGCTAAGGCTCATGTTTGGGTTAACATTCTAGATTTTCAAACCTTGAGTGAAATTCCAAGCCATGATAATGGAGACTGTCGGGTTACAAATATAAGAGACTGGAAAAAAAAAAGTGCTAAAAAACCCTTGCAGCTGAATTATTTACAACCGATCACAGATCTAGTTACACTTTCTTCCTAGACACACGCAGCTGGACCTGGTGCCTTGTGCACAATATTACTCCGACTTCTTGATGGAGGGTGAGTGAAAAATGAGAAGTCACAGTGATACAGAAAGAAAGTAAACTGGACAGGGGAGAGGAGATTAAACATGCACACACACACGTGTGCCACCCCTCGCCCCCACATGGACACACACCACACCCACGCAACGCATACACATCTACCCTCACATACACACCCCACATACACACACACACACCACATACACACTACACTGACATACACAACATACACACACACATACAATATGTCCCCGAACAACAAACCCAGGTCATAGCTAAGTGAAACAGGAGGAAAATGGTCACTCTGGTATTATTTTTTGGAGACCGGCAACCCACTTCTGACGCTAGGAAGGATTTGATTTTATTAGATGCTACATCTTCATGATTTTCTTCTCCAGAAGAGAGAGAAATTCGCTATCAATGATAATAAAGTACCTGACTTACTGAGGGCCCCCTGCGTGCCAGGCACGGCACCAGCTGCTGCACAATACTCTGCCTTAACCCCCGCCGTCCACCCGGGGAGCCGACCTTGCAGGTGAGGGAACGAGCTCCGAGAATGGATCTGCCCAAGTTCAGCCAGCTGATCGTGGTAGCGCTGGGCTGAGTGACTCAAAAGAGCACCTACTCCCTAACTGCGTGGGTCCACCTGCCTCCCTCCACCACAACTGGGGTGAGCCCGATGGGCTGGGCACAGTGGTCTGGGCCCACCTCTGTCCCCACACAAGTAATCTCCAGCACCACTATTTCCTAAAGCAACTGTACTGAGGGAGGATGGACACTTCTGGAACTTTCCAAAACCCATCAAAAATGGTCCATCTAACAGTGGTATTCAAGCAAAATGCCAATCGTGATGTCTTAGGCATTTGCACTGCCTGGGCAGGAAGGATGACTCCTTTATTTAAAGCACCCTTTCCTTATGCTCAGGACTCTGTGGCACCTCCTTCTACAGCAGGAGAACTGCCATGAATCCTGCAGCGAGAGCCAAAGTGCCGGAAGCACAGGACACGGGCTGCCTCCACCCTCACTGTCACCCTTGTGGCTACCGGTTCATTCATCCCTTGTAGTTTTCTCGGTCTTCACTCTGAGGGATTTCATGGGGCAAACAATCAAACAGGAAAAGTGTTCTGAAAGGTAGGAGGATACATTTTCTCTAAGACTAAAAAAATAAAAGCATAAGATTCTCAAAGTCAATTGGGACCTGATTCCAGGATAAAGAACAACATATAAAAAACCCACATGAATCAAAAAAAAAAAACACCAAAAACCAAAAACCAAAACTAACAAACCATTATCCAGTTCCTTAAAAAAAAAAAATAAATTAAACCTCGATGATTAATGAATTAAAATTTCTTAGTCAAATGTTTGCTTTGTTAACTAGGCCCCAGAGCCTTGTAACCTTTTCATTTTTAAATACTTCACTGTGAGGAAGGCTGGGGGCAAAATAAAGCTGCAATGCTCATGTCTAGTGCACTTTAAATTCTAGGAAGAATCAAAAACTGGAAGCCAAAGACTAAGCCACCCGAGCCACAGGTCTGAGTAATGGAACACAGTGCATGGAAACCACAGCAATTTAGGTTCTAGAAGGTGGGATTCCAGGCATGGAATGTGGGGCGGTCCTAAGTCAGAGCCACCTAGCATCTGGTCCTCGGTAGGGTGCATCTGGTCCTCGGTAGGGTCTTTCCTCTGGAATTCACATAATTTCAAAGGCTCCCAAACACCCGAGGGACTAGCATCCTGACTGCTCCCCCTTGGGGAGTCTGCTTTAAAGAACTCCTTTCTCTGCAAACATCCTCTCAAACTCTGCCATTGATCTTTTTTTGGGGGAAAAAAAGTTTTTTCACACAATTTTCCATGCAACAGGGGCAGGAATGCAGACCCTCTGTAGATCTGAGACAGAAAGAGGACAGAGAGGCAGTTGACAGAACTGAAATATGTTTGTGTATCGAAACATGTATTGTTCCTTAAATTCTTAAATTATAAACATCGTATATGATCACAGAGAAGTCACACTGTTCCCAAATGTATACTTTACAAGTAATGCTAGGATAAGAAGTAGCGCTGGTGGTACTCTTTACTCTTGATCCCACCGGCGTGTTCTCCTCATGAGAAGTAACTGTGCTGTGTACTTACAGTAAATGGATGTTGTATGGGAACACGTATATGTAATATATTTATGTATGTTATGCTCAAAAGTTAAAAAAAAAAAAAAAGTGACTTGAGAAAGAGGACAAATCAAAAAGACATAAAAACTAAGCAGACCACCTGTCTTGCCCATGACCACGAATGGGACTCAAGCTCTTCTCTGACTCTGGTGTTTTCTTGTTTATATTTTAGTTATCACTGTCTTGTATGTTCCCTTATTTTGGATGCTCTGCACTTGCTGAGTATTTACATTCTTGCTTTTAACATGTCTTGGAGACCTAGAACAGTGCTAGGAACACAGTAGATGCTCAGTAAATATAAAAATGAATTGGGGAGAAAAAGTCACTTCATCTATACTCCAATGCTACTCTCTTGAGAGCTGCCCTAGAGACATCTCCTTCCAGGCATCTACACATATGTAATATCCATCTAAAAATAAACCACAGCTAATAAGTATCAGAGTACCTGTTTTATTTGGAGTAGAAAACCCGAAGCCTTGGGATGCCACACTTCCTCCTCCAGAGCTGAAAGTGCCAGCAGGTTTCTGCTCTCCAAACGATGAGCTGGCAAATCCACCAAATGTCTTGGCCCCACTGTTTCCGAAGAGATTAGAGGTATCTAAAGAAAGGGGGAACATGTTGAGGGAGATCAGAGGTAGAAAAATGTCCTTATCTACTTTGAACAGAAAAGAAACTGCAACTAGGTGTTTGAGGAGAAGCAAGTGACAAGTCTGGAATTCAAGGGAGCCGAGCTATGGTGAACACCTCCTGTGATTTGCCTGCATGTTGATGACAAGTTCTTAATCTCTGGGAGCCCAGGCTCCAGGTTCTATGGGCACACCATACAGGGGAGCTGCAGCAGGGCCCAGTGAAGAGGCTCCTTTGCAGAAACGTGTCTGCGCTCCCGCACGTATCACGTCTATCCACCAGCTTCCCGCGAGACGGTTTTCTTCTGAAGAGGGCTCGGTTTCATTCATCTCCTCACACGAAAACCAACTTCACGTTTTGTCGAGCTAGAGAAAATAAAGTCAGAGCAAATCCGAAGCAAGCTTAATGGCTTCCAGCTTCCTGCTTTTACAGTCAGGTTGGACATGTCTGCTGTTGCCCGATCTGCTCAGGGAATGGCAGTGAAACAAGAAAAACCATGATGCTCCTAACTCTGATCTGAGGGGAGCCAGAGATGTTCTGAAGAACGTTAAGAGGCAGCAAGACTTCCAGTCTGATTTCCTTTTCCTAAGCGGTTCAGTGAAGCCCTTGACCTTTCAGATACTTATCTAGGTGGGTCACTCCCTCTACACACTGAAGCCACACCACGACTGAAAGGAATAAAGGCAACTAACTCCTAAAAACCAAGACGGGTAAGAAGTGTTTTGTCGGTTATAAGAAATTTAAATCTGACCGGTAACACACATAAGTAGCCAGAACCATATACACAGAAGCACTTGGGAACACAAACAGCACATTAGCAGGAATTTTTCTTTCACCCTTTTTTGGGGGAGAGGGGAGGGACAACTCACACTTCCCCACCGTGTTTGGATGCGTTTTATTAAAGTAAGTTTGCACCCAAAGAAGGCAGGGAGAAGCTGTCCCGAAACGGGGTCTAGGCCCAAAGGCACAGGCATAAGCTGGGCACTGACTGGATGCTCCCGGTGGGTAATGGAGAGTGTGTGCCACATCACCAAGTGAGAAGAGCAAGCATCTGCACGGGCGGGTCTTCCCCCCTGCCGATCAGGTGCTCGCCGAGAAGGTGATGGAGAGAACGGAGGGGAGCAAGTCACTCTCGAAGTCCAGTTGCTTGAAGAGGTGGTCCTCCACTAACCCGCCAATCCCAAGGCCCCCCATCTCGCTCCGCTACCAGCCCCACCCCCGTGGGAGATGTGACTGTCAATACTTCCAGTTGCAATGCTCTTGGTCTACAATCCAGGAAGTGAACAGCCTTATCTCAGGGACATGACCACCTTGAATTTCTAGGCACCAATACACAGAGCCCTAGGCCACCACATGGTCACCTGCTCTGTGAAACTCCTGCTAGCAGTTTGAGAGGCCGGCTAGGAGTGCGCCAGACACTGATGGCGGGAGGGGTTCACAAGCTCCTTTTCATCACCCCTATACGCGGTACCACAGGATTATCCATCTCCCTTTTGTAGAGGGATTCGTAGGGAGAGCCTACAAAATGTCTTTTTTTTTTTTTTATAGATTTTATTTATTTATTTGACAGAGAAAGAGAGAATACAAGTAGGCAGAGTGACAGGCAGAGTGAGAGAGGGAGAAGCAGGCTCCCCACTGAGGAAGGAGCCCGATGTGGGACTCGATCCCAGGACCCTGGGATCATGACCTGAGCTGAAGGCAGCTGCTCAGCCGACTGAGCCACCCAGGTGCCCCCAAAATGTCCTCTTGAACAGCCTGAGCTTTCCGTCAGTGTGCCAGCTTGGAGTCCACGTTTTCTTCTTTCAGGGACAGTACATTCATTCAACGCTGGAGATGAAAAATGGGTTCCTCAGCCATTCCTTCACTCGGTACCTCAGGAACAGAGGGCTGCAACTTTCTGACTTTGTTAGTACCAACGCGGCAAAAATTCCAAATAGCAAATCAATTCAAGTGCGAGATCTGGGGCTAGCTCTCCTCTTGGGAGAAATCTGAGATACAGAGGTGAAATGATTTTACCGGGATGATGCCGGGACTGGAATGCCTGAAGTCAGAGAACACAGACGTTTCCAGGCATTTTTTACCCCTTCATCTCCTTGAGACGCCTCTGTCTGAAGATGCTCATGAGCGTTACAGTGGAATGCACGAGTGTTCTGCAGTCAGTCCTGGCTCAGGACACCTAGTAGCTAGAGGCAAGGACTTCACCTTCCCAAGTCCCAGTTTCTTCTGCGACAAAATGGGGATAGCAAGGGGGGGGGGTCCACACGGCTGCTGTGAGGATCAGATAGGCTGACATGTGCAGAGTGCCTAGTTGGGCCGATGGCAGATCCTCAGGAAATAGAACTTCCCCTCTCTGTTTCTTTAAGTCTTCCTCCTACTACATCCCACTTGTGTTCAATATAAGACACAGAGCAGATCAGTGGCAGAAAACGTAATCCTTTTCATTTTGCAAAGATCCTGAGAGTTAAACCAGTCAAGTTGTAACAGTTTTCGTTCGCAGTCTCAAGAGGAGCTCTGCATGTTGAAATGTTTTAGGATTTATTCAAGCGGCTCTGAAGCAAAGTGGCATTAAACGAGGTCTGCTTCTCTGTTTCCACGGTCAACAACGTGCTTCTCAGTTCTCTCCCAGTAGCTCCAAAATAATACAGTCCCTGGCTCTTAAAATACGACAAGTACGAGGGTTATCTTGGTTGTTGGAACACTATGCCGTCGTAGGAGATGCCTCTTCGTTTGTGGGTAGGGCAGCTGGAAGAAAGCCTGTCTTCACAGAGTGGGCTGGTCACTTCTACTCTCGGGGGTGGCGAGTCCAGGGACAACCAGCGTCTGCTCTGGGCTTCCCCCTGCTGGCACGACATGGGTCCTCCTGGGTCTTTTATTTGGCAAAAAACACTTGCCTGACATCAGGGTCCAACCGTACTTTAATTAAATTATACCTGATATAAATTTGATATAAACACTATCACAGGGACTAGGTCTCATGTCATTCTACGGGTCTAAAGTCACCTATTAGAATTTAACACGCACTGAGAAGGGGGTTCCTCAAGAAGCTCTGGCCCAGGATGCTTTCCAAGACATTTTCTTAAAGAACAGTTGTAGAGGGAACCTTGGGGGCCCACAAGATTGTCCTCAAATGGCTTCTTTATCCTCATGCAAGTATGTCTTTCAGGTCTCTGAACAGAAAGGATGTGCTGAGGATGGGTCTAACCAGTGTCCTTAGGACAAGACTCGAGGAGGCAGTAAGTCCTTACAGGTAACAGTGTAGGGTGGTGCTGAATTTTAAGTGACCCCAGGGGTTAACCGTGTATCTCAGGTAGTCCCTGGGGGCAGAGAGCGCAGAAACCTTTAGGAGGTGGGAGCTTCTGGATAAAGAACATGCCAACTCCCAGCAACAGTGTTCCTGGCTGGTCTTTCTCCATCAGGGCAGAGGTCTAATGACTTCTCAGGGCTGAAGAGGGCAGCTTCAGGACCAGGCAGCCTGGAGCCCACATGTCACAAGGGAAAACTGCTGGCTGCTCAGTCTGTGCTCAGACCTCTATCTGCAGGGGAGCATGTTCGATGCCACCGAGAACGAGCCCGAGGGCTGTCAGACAAGACACACCTGGGAGGAACTGTGCTCCGTCGCAAGGCTAGGAAGATCTCAGGAGGCAAGGGGGTGGATCAGAGTTCTGGAAACATACTCGGATTAAACCCTGGCTCCTCCACTTTACGGCTGCTACCTCTGTAAGTCCACGTCCCTTCTCTGAGCCTATTTCCTTATTGGTAAAATGGGGGCAGCCACATCTAAAAGTCCTGTTGTAAGAAGCGGCCAGCCCACCTAAATGGAGCATCTGGTGCACAGGAGGTGGCCCATAAAGATCCGTTCCCTTCCACCTGATGTCACATGAAGGAATGGAACGCAAGGGCTGCCGGATTCCAGACGCTGGCGTAGACTTACAGTCACCCTTAAAGGAAGGGTGGGTTTGGCGGGTGGAGTGGAGGGAGCAGGGGAGCCCTGGCACTGAAGCGGGGAGAGAGGAGCAGCGCGTGTACGAAGGATGGCCAGCAGACAAACTGGCCAACGCAGAGGGAGCATGCTGGGGGGACAGAAAAGTGTGTGGGGCAGCTCACGGAGGGCCCAGACTTCCAAGCAGAGAGGCTGGCTTCACGTCGGTGGGAAGCTGCCGGGGGTTTTGCGTAGGGAGAGAGGCAAAAGCAAAGCAGAGTTAAAAACACTCAGCTTGGTGTGAATGTCCACATGCCAGGGGAGGAGGCTGGAAGCAGGGAGGGGAGTCTGGAGACTACTGTGATAACCCAGATGACAATGGGGACATGCCTGCAAGGCCAGAGAGAAGCAGTAGAGAAGGAACCGTTTGAAAGGCAGGAAGAGAAACCAGGAGAGTCGGTCTATACAGCCCAGGAAAGACGTTGTGCTCAAAGTGTCAAATACTGCAGATTCACCCAAAGAGAAAGAGGCTGTCCCCGGTGGTTCGCAGAAAGCATCCTTAGTTCTGGTGAGGACAATGCCTGTCCCCAGATGACCTCTAGCTCCTTCTCCTCCACCGTTCTTCCCCTTCTCCTGCACCTGGTCCTCTGGGCTACAGAGGCTCCTGTCCCTTTCACTATCGAATCAGACCTTCAGTTTTCAAAACAAAAGAATGTTTTAAGTCTTTTCTGTACCTGAAACTTCTCTTACCATAAAAGTAAACTGATGATTTATAAAAACCAGTGTTTAGGAAAATGAAGACCAGCAGGTGTCTGGTATCAAGAATCTGGAATAATCCTATAAAAATACCTGGTTTAATTTTAAACCAGAATTAAAGAATTAGAAAAACGCTGTGCCAGTGAACAACGGACTGGGGGTGGAGGAGGGCAGCGCTGACTTGCCCTGCTGTCCAATTCCTATGGGGTACACACTCGCCTAATGGCAGAGTTCAGGCTGCCCGACACGAGGTCACCGGATGCAGAATTGGAGAGGGTGCACAGCTGGCTCTCACGAGCCAGGGCAAGCCATCGTCAGTCCCCCACCGAGAGAAGGCAATTCGTTGACAGCAAGAGCCAGGGCCTAGGAGATGAATCAGCCAGGAGGAAAGGGGATTTTACAAGGGTATGACATACTTAAGTTTCAACAAAACTGGTTAGTACCACAGTCTCACAGATGGTAACCTACCTACGGGAGAAACCCACATTTCTAAGTAGCATGTTACCAAGTGCTTCTTCTGCGCCAGATGCTGTTCTGTAGGCTACATATGAACTAGCAGAGTCCTAGATCTGCCACTTTCTGGCACTTAAAATCACCTCACCATTCGGGGCCTGTTTCCTCATTGGAAAATGGAGAGAATGCCACACAAGGATCCTGTTGTCCAAGTATGTGCTATGGAGCCCTGCGGTTCCACGCTGAGAGCTGGGCGCAGGTAGATGGGGAAACCACCCAGCATCTCTGGTTCTTGACCCCTACTTCCAAGCAGACCTATTTTTACCTGTTTTACGCATCAGGATTCTGCTGAGAAGTTCATCTGTAGAAAGTGTTTTGAAAAGTACTAGATTCGGTTTCTAGGATCCCTTCATTCTAGAGTTCTTTTTTTTTTTTTTTTAAGGTTTTATTTATTTGACAGAGGGTGCACAAACAGGGAGAGCAGGAGAGGGAGAGGCAGGCTCCCTGCTCAGCAGGGACGTGGGGGATCATGACCTGAGCTGAAGGCAGACGCTTAACTGACTGAGCTACCCAGGCGTCCCTCATTCTAGGATTCTAAATTTCTCCCGGAAGACTGAAAGCTAAAGAACAAAAATTTCTGCTCATATAATTTCACAAGTGAAGAGGTCTGTGTCTCTTGACTCTAATCTTTCCTTCTGTGTTACTTAGGTGGACAGTGACATCAAAACAATTGATCAGTGACTCTGGAGACTCAGGACAGAGAACTCTGCTTAGAACTGCATGAGCCTTAACCGTGAAGGGAGTATCAGTCCTGTCTGAGAACATTAGCTCCCGATTCTTGAGGATCTTGTGTTAGCACAGCAGACGAGAGACGCTCCGTGTGCGGCGTGGTAAACGAGGGAAGCAGAGATGAAGATGACAGGCCCCCAACTTCCCATCTCAGCCTCCATCTGCAGCAGGATTTTTTATTTTTTTCAGATTAAAAAAAACAACAACAACCCAAATTTCTTTCATTTCTAACCACGAATAGACAGATCAACAAAGAATTTGAAAAATTAGCTGGAAAAAAAGTGCCAGCAGAACGATACAGCTTCATTTGAAATGTGAGAGATGAGAAATAACGAAGGCTCTGAGTTTTGGGTAACATTTCTCTGTGGCAGCTGAATTTTAAAGCAAATTCAGAGAGAGTACTACACAACGAACATCCAGATGCTCCTTCTCCAAGCACACCCAGCTTGCTCTGCTGCTCTCATTTATGCCTGTCCGCTTGCATTCACTTCAAGTCATTTCAACCCTAAGAAACAGAGCGATGTGGGCCTTGGGAGAGAAGAGGGGAGGAGCTCAGTGCACAGACATTCACCCTGCAGCTCTGATGTCTTTTCATGATTATATAGGACATCTCATTAAAAAACCAAAAATCAAAATCAAAACAGATCACACTGCTTTGATCCATATATTAAACAGGCCTTCTAGACCCCCTCTTTCCTTTCTACACTTGTCACCAAAGCTCTGCTCGCACCACAGGGATGACAATGGCATTATGGGGCCAAGGGACTGGGAAAACGGTTTCAACTTACTTGGGGTGGCTGCAGATCCAAAGCCCCCGCTGGCCGAGCTGAATGGGTTTTTGTTGGCTGCATCCTGGCTGGGTTTCCCTCCAAGGCCACTGAAGAAACCTCCCCCTCTTCCAGTGTTTCCAGACCCAAACATGTTCCCACTGCAAGAGGGCTGCTGGAAAACAAAAGGGGCAGGAAGCGAGATAGGATGAGAGGTCATCGTCAAACGGCAGGCCACATCCGCGGAAAGAAGGCGCTCACCGCTGGGACAAAGGGAAAAAGCAAGAGGACTCTGATTAGTTCTGGGACGGATGCTCTAACACCCACAAAAGAAGCTGGACTCTGGACAGGGACTTCCTACAAATCAGAAGTTCTCAAGCTATTATTCCATGTTCACAGTTCTCTGAAAACATGATTTATGGGAGGAGGGAACTTTGAATGTTTATCTGCCCTGCTGCCTCCAGTCTCTGCTTGACACAATGCCAGGGGCAGGAAAGCCAGCCCCTCAAGAGTTCCCCCAAATGAGAAAGTTTAAAAACATTTCTAGGCGATTATGAACACGACTTATTTTGATTCCTCCAGGATTTGGCTGAACTCATCAGCAACTGATGAAAAGCGATTTACACTGTCTTTTCTCCCAATTTGTGCACTTTTATTTCATAATGACTTTCCCATACTGCAGAAATAAGCTTAAATTAGCTCCATTGTTGAAATGATGACCATAGCTGAATTTTGTCCAAGTCTGCAAATCTTATGCTCAGAGGATGCTACTAACTTAGGGCGCGTGCTGACTCAAAGCTGTCTCAGGCACCACATACTTTATTTCTGTTTGGAAACTGGTTCTCTAAGGAAGACCGTGTAGACTTGAGGGACCATTAATATTAGTTACGCGTGATGTCTTCTTGGCTGATGATGTAGAATAAGATAGGCTTTTAGAAATGGGTCACTGTGGGGGCGCCTGGGTGGCTCAGTCAGTTAAGCGTCTGCGGACTCTTGACCTCAGCTCATCAGGTCTAGATCTCAGGGTCATGAGTTCAAGCCCTGCACTGCGCTCCACACTGGGTGTGGAGCCTACTTCAGAAAAAAAGAAAAAGAAAGAAAGAAAGAAAAGGAGAGAGAGAGAGAAATGGGTCACTGTGCACAGGAACCTTATAGAAGTGTCTTTCAAAGACGGACACAGAGGTGCAGAAGTCCATCCCCCGTAAAATGGGAATAATGAACTACCCACCTCAAAACAGCGAGTCAATTAAATGTGCTGAGAAGTGTGATGCACCTTAGTATAGCGCCTGAAATAAAAGCACAGGCTCAGAAAACAGCTGCTGTTTAGTATTTTAACAGTGATAGTAACAGACCAATGACCGAGCACTTTCTAGCTAGAGCCAGGCATTTTTCTAAACACTTCATACTTAAGTCACACCTCCAGTGGGCCACCTCTGAAACCCCTCCGGGCATCCCCTTAGGAGCACAGCCACCACCCTGGTCTGAGCCACCTAACCTCGACTTCTCGCCTGGACTACGCAACTTAACTGACATCCTGCTTCCACTACAATCTATGTTCACACAGCAGCTAGAATAACATCTATGAATGGCAGTCAGATCATTAAACTCATATTTAAAAATTCTACAAGACCCTACACGATCTGGCCCCTGGCCAACCTCTGACATCATCTTTTATCATCTCTCCTCCCCTCTCCCCCCAACATGGTCCAGTTAGCCTGGTCTTTTGTACTTGAATACAACACGCTAATTTTTACTGTACCTAAGGCACTTAATACTTGTCTCTAACTCCCTCTTTTTTCCCCCTAAATTTCTTTAAAACAACAGTAAGTTTACTATAACCATTTAATGATGAGTAAGAGCTTTTTAAAACCTGGAATCCAAATCCAATCATAAAAGCTTTGATAACCAGTAGCCAGACTTTGAAAGGAAGGAAGACATGGCAACGAATCCATGCAGCATGTAGAAAATATCAGACGTTGTAGCTGACTTCCATGCATCAGACTGGAACAAAGTCAACTGCCAATATGTGGATATTTTCACCCTACCCAAAAATGGCAATTTCAGATGGTTTAACCTAAATTGTAAAAATAGGATTTGAAAAATAATGACTATCTAAATGAACAGAAGGGGATCACAGAAGTGAATGCGAATTGATAGCTACTGCACCCTCATAAATAGGTTAGAGAGAGTCCCGTTCATTGTAATTGCAATACATTATAATAGTTTTAAAATTTTAAATTATGGGAAATCTCAAAAGTGTACAAAAAGTAGACAGAAGAATATAATGCTCCTACCCCATGCCCATCACCCAGTTTCAATGAATTCATGGCCAGCTGAGTTTTATCTATATCCCATCTACTTCCCCTCATCTTTTATTAGCATGAAGCAAATCCTAGACATCTTATCATTTGAACCATTGATTTTTCTAGTATAATCTCTAAAACATAAACCATAACCTTACCATTATCATCCCTAAAAAATTAACAATAACCCCTTAATATCATTAAATAGGGAGGTAGTGTTCAAGATCCAAGCTCATAATGTTGCCAAAAAAAAAAAAAAAAAATCAGATCTGAATCTCCTCAAGCCTCCAGACCCAACCCCCACTTCACAGGAAGTTAACAAAGGACAGGGGACCAAGTTAACCTAGGAGCTGTAACACAGGAATGCAGTCAGCAATCAAACCATAGGAAATTCTACAGAACAACTGAATTGTGAGAAACAACAAGAGGAAGAGAGACACGGAAGGGTTATCTATAGAGAGAGACACTCAGGAGACCTATCAAGCGGTCTCAACGTGTGGACTGGATTTGATCCTAATTCAAAGAAACAAATATAAAAAGGAAAGGGAGACACTGATGAGACTTCCTCAGAATGGCATTTCCTGACTATGTAACCTAAATCCTTCTTCCTGATTACTGCTTTATTCTCTTCATAGTACTTAAAACTCTCTGAAATTAAACTATTTTAATAAGGACTCTCTCCATCAAATGTGATCTTTCAATCCATGAACACTGGATATCCTTCCATTTATTTAGATCATCTTTAATTTCTTTAAACAATGTTTTATAGTATTCAGAGTATGTTTTACACTTATTTTGCTAAATTTATTCCTAAGTATCGTACCCGTTTTGATGTTATTGAAAATGGAATTTTCTTACTTTCACTTTCAGATAGTTCTTTGCAAATGTATAAAAACAGAATAGGCTTTTGAAATTTTAATCTTGCATCCTGCAACTGTGAACCCATTTATTAGTTCTAGCAGTATTTTAGTGGATTCCTTAGGATTTTCTATATACCTGATCATGTTATCTGCAGACACAGAGTTTTACTTTTTCCCTTCCAACCTAGATGCCTTTTATTTCATTTTCTGGCCTAACTGACCTGGCTAAAATCAACATATGCTTTTGAGATTCATCCATATTGCTGCATGCATTGGTCATTCTTCCCTTTATACTGCTGAGTAGTATTCCATCACAGGAGTATGCTGGTGTTGACTATTCTCCTGCTAGACATCTAGACTATTTCCAGGTTTTGGCTGTCATAAACAAAGTTGCTATAAGCATTAAGTCTTTCTGCGGACCTAGGTTTTCAGCTCTTTTGGGTAAATACCTAGGCCTGGAACTGCTAAACCACACAATTAGTGTATATTTGACTTAAATTGCCAAATGGTTTTCCAAATTACCATTTTATAATCCCACCAGCAACACATTAAGAGATCTATTTGCTCTAATCTCCACATTTGGTTTTGTTAGCTCTTAAATTTTAGTAATTCTAGTAGCTTTGGAGTAGTGTCTTATTGTGGTTCCAATTTGCATTTCTCTGATGACTAATAATGGCGGGCAAGTTTTCACATGCTTATTGGCCATTCATATACTTTGTAAAGTATCTGTCTCCAAGTACTTTGCTTTCAGTTTTTAAAGTTCTTTATATATGCTTTTTTTTTTTAACATTTTATTTTTTTAAAGATTTTATTTATTTGAGAGAGAGAGAGAGAGAGAGAGAGCATGAGCAGGGGCAGAGAGAGAGAGTGAGAGAGAGTATGAGCAGGGGCAGAGAGAGAGGACAAGTAGACTTCCCACTGAGCAGGGAGCGCGACTCGGGGCTTGATCCCAGGACCCAGAGATCATGACCTGAGCCAAAGGCAGACCCTTAACCATCTGAGCCACCCAGGTGTCCCAAGTTCTTTATGTATTCTTTACGTATTCTGGACAGAAGCCCTTCATTTGATACATGTATTATAAATATTTTCCCCCAGTCTATGCCCTGCCGTTCATTTCATAACATTTTGATTAGCATTACTTTCTAATTCTGATGGACTCTACTTTTAAAATTTTCTTCTTTTATGGTTAGGTGCTTTCTGGGTTCTAAGAAATATATATATATATTTTTTAAAGACTTAATTTATTCAACAGAGAGAGATCACAAGTGGGGGGTGGGGGAGTGGGAGAGGGAGAAGCAGGCTTCCCGCCGAGCAGGGAGCCCGATGCGGAGCTCGATCCCAGGACCCAGGGATCACGACCTGAGCCGAAGACAGACACTTAACCGACTGAGCCACCCAGGCGCCCCTGGGTTCTAAGAAATCTTTACCTCATAATGGTTTCATAACAGTGGCATTGACATTTGGGTTGGATAACTCCTTGTTTTGGAGGGTTATGGAATGTTTAGCAGCATCCCTGGCCCTAGATGCTAACAGCATCCCTTACTCATGAGGACCAAACAGGTCTCCGGACATTGCAATTGTGAAATTCCCATGGGGGTGGGGAGTGGAATTGATACCATTTGAGAACCACTGGTCTACGCGAGGGAGTAAAGATACTCTCTGCCTTTTTGCTCTGATTGTCATATATTTAACATCTCCTCATAACCACACAAATACGCTGTTTTCCCCTATGGCCTGAGTCTTTTTAGCTGCTTAAAAATTTTTCTCTTTGTATTTAGTTTTCAGAAGCTTATCTATGATATGTCTAGGTGTGGTCTTCTGCTATTTATTCTGTTCAGGGTTCACAGAGTTTCTTGGATTTCTGGATCCTTGTTTTTCAATACATTTGGAAAAGCCTGGCCGTTTTTCTTCAAATATTTTTTGTCTACTCCATTCTGTCTCCTCTCCTTCAAGGACTTCGGTTACCAGTAAAACAGACTGCCTGATATTGTGTTACACAGGTCACTAACATT